CTACAGCTTGCAGAGCACCTGGCTGCTGTCCAGGGGCTGCCAGGTGTGGGGAGCCACTCTGAATGACCCCCGCCTCCAGTCCTGAAGCCGGAGGCTCTGACTGATCACTGCACTTCATGGTGACTTGGTGTTGTCCCAGCACAGGAAGTCAAAGGCGTGTCTTCAGGCCTGGGCATGTCACTGTGGGGTTGAGCTACACTCTCCTATTCTTTTGTAATACTGCCCCTTCGCCCTATTGGGGATAGAATGTTCCATGGAAACGCCCTTTGTGTGTCCCCTCCTCCTAATGTGCCCTTAAGTGTGGCCTTCCTGGATGTCAGTCAACCTGCTGGCAGCGACATCAGGAAGCTAGACTCAGCCCCTGAAACCTGACCCCTTCGCTCCTTTGAATGGCTTCTCCTCAATAAAAGGGGTCAGCTCTCTTGCTCTCTCTTTCTGCGGACCCTTAAGGTCAGAGGAGCCATCACTGGACTCAAATAAAGCGGTATCTCTGTCCCTTGTGGGGTCATTCTGTGCAGCCCAGTTCACTGGAGTGACCCAGAGTGTCTTAGTCTTGAGGAGTACAACAGCCAGGTCCTGGCTTGTCCCAGTTCCCGCTCTGCTCCTTCCTCCCTACCTCACCCCGCAGGGGAAGGGTCATTATCTCAACCCATGGCACAGGCATTTACTGAAAATGACCAGTGGTAGCAATAGAGGACCGTGAAAACTCACGTGTCACATTCCAGTATGAAGTCACCCGAACTCACCTGGGGGGCACCTCAGGCTGGGAGGGTCGATCAGGGAGGAGTGGCAGAGCAGAGGAATTCCCCGTGCTTTATACGGCTGGAATCGAGGTCTGAAAGGAGCCCAGAAGAAGTGTTTGGGACCAGGCTCTGGCCTTGAAGTGGGGCTTGGATGTGCCTGGTAAGACCAGGTTCTGACGTAGCAGGCACTCAGCTTGGTGACGCTGGCTGCTGCCCTGGGAGGGCCTTTGAGGCCCCCCTGCGCCCTTCTCAGGGAAGCCGTTCAGGCCCTGTCCCTCCGCTAAGAGTCACTTCCCCATGATGCAATGCTTACAAAATAAGAGATTCTCTTCTGGAAGTAAGTAGAATTTATGTGAAGAAGACTTGGGTCTCATGGAACCCTGAGGAATTCCAGGGAGAGAGAGGAGGCCAGAAGGGACTCTGAGGGAGAAACTCATTTGAGGCCCATGTGGGGGCTCCTCTATGTGGGTAGCCTGGAGAATGCACAATGCAGCGCTAGGAATAGCTCTCCGAAAAACATTTCAGACTCTGTCCTCAGCTTGGAACATTTTAAACACCACGAAAGTAGCATCAAGCCAACCCGTCACTGAGGAGGAAAGACTAAATGACAGATTGTGATTATGGACAAACACTATTTCTTTAACTCAGACATTTTCCAGGAAGTGAGCAGGAGCGTTGTAGACAGTCGGCATGTGGGTGGCCGACTTGGCTCCAGGATCCTGAGCACCATGGAGCAGCAGGGCTTTCTTCAGCCCACTTCAGTGGCTGCAGTCAGTGAGCCTGTGGCTAGTGGGAGGTCAGCACCCAAGGAGCTGGTGCAGCTCTTTAGCCGGGCTCGCACACTCGTGTGCACACACAAAGCCGAGACTGGATGGCCCTGGGTGGAAGGGACTGGAAAAGAGGTGAACTCTGAGACCCTCCTTCCTTAAGGCTCCTGGAGCCGGCCAACAGGTCGAGCCTGCACTCCTAGATCTGCTGACCCAAGCTGCCACCCAGGTGTCCACAGGTGGCCTGAGTGCAGCTGGTGACAACAGACCTGGGTCCCAGCCTGGCCCCACACCCTCTGTCCGGTCCTGAGTTGTGTCATGCTGTGAGCCACAGCAGGTGTTCTGCATCCTGAGGACTGGACATGTTTCCAAGCCACATGTCTTGCTGGCTGGGTGCCTTGGACACCTTTGGTAGCTAGTGTGCACCTCACCCCTTTCTTCTTCCCTCCAGGATCCTGACTTTAGGCATGAATCTGCCTCTTCCTGAGGCCTTCTATGGGACTGAGAGGCACCATGCCAGGGAAGAGGGAAGCCAGTCCTGAATGGTCCAAAACACACCTCGAGAATACAGTGAGTTTTCCTATTTGGTCCAGGAGGGAGCCTCTGATGGGAAGTGACATGATCTAATGGCAGCATACCAGTCACTGACCCAAAAAGGGGAACAAAAAAACTTTTGCTTCTAAGGAGGGAAATTTGCTGCTGATCAAACTGTCAAACTGGTTTGAGGCTGTTGAATGGGTAGGTAAAGCCAAAGGGAGGAGGGGAGAAAGGCACAAAGTCATAGCCCTGGAGTCACAAGAGCAAAGGGCATCACCAGAGCCACTGTCCCTGCATCAGGAAGGCCACCAAAGCACCTCTGTGCAGTGCACCTGCAGGAGCCAGATCCCAGCAGATCCAAGCACCCGTGGCCACTAGCTCTGGCCTAGGAACCACAGAAGCCAGGAGACAAGAAAACCTCCCTCACCCCACCCTCCAGCCCTTGCCAGCGTCCCTGGGTGAAACCTCGCCGGAGTGGGTGGCAGGTCTGTGTGGCTCCGTGCAGAGGAGAGGACGGCCACGGAGCCGAGGCAGCAGGCACCAATGTCCAGGCGCTCACCCGCTGGAGAAAGTCAAGTGTAAGTAAACAAGACTGGCATCCTCGCCTCCGTCCTCACGGGGGACAAAGCCACCTTGACAGATGATACGGCGGAAGGAAACTGCATCTCTGCTGCCATTGGGTCAGCCAGCAGCCAACCCTGAAGGGTCCCCTGCTTCCAGGCATCTCATTTTGAACAAAAAAAAAATACGTTTCAATACTTTTAAATCTGGGTTCAGACTGGCTGCTCTTGCCTCCTGGAAGCGCTGTACTGATAATCAGAAGCCTGAGCTTCTGTCCTGCTCCATCTGAGATGCTATTGGTCGAACCAAGGGGTACTGTGATAGCAATTACTCCACAGTGGAAGCAGGGCAGGGCGACCGCTGAGATAATGCGTATGCTTTGCCAGCTGGTCCCCATCTGGCTCTTGTGTCACTCTTCCCGATCATGATCTCTTCGTGTGTGGTAGGGCTGAGCCATGGGCTCAGAGGTTCACCATACCCCATCAAGAGCCATGCTTCCCCCACTCCAGCTGCGGTCGAGCCGTTTCTTACCATGGGAAGGATGGGCACACCTCGTGGTGAAGCTCAGCACCTGCCACCTACATGGTTTGCAGAGGAAAACTGCTGGATCCCAGTGTTTTCATGTTGTCCATGCCTTAGTTGTATTTACCAGTACAGCTTGTCTCTTCCACATTTCTCCAGGTTCTCTGGTATTGGAGAAGGAGTTCCTGGTGTGTTTGGAAACTTAAGAGGCTGAGGTTCTAAACAACCCCTGCCAGCCTGAGCCATATAATACTGGGCATGTGACTAACTCTCCCTGCTTCTGTCCCTAAATTAGGGGCTTACACATAATTATCTCCAAATCCCTTCTGCTTCCAAATTTCAAATGGTTTAGCATCCTTACTGCCAAATCCAGGGGTGGTGAGAGCCAGATGATCTGAGTGAATTGCTCCCATCTGCCATGATGACAGGGCAGCTTGGAACCCAGTGCGCCTTCTCCCAGAAACAACTTGTCTTGGAGGAGCCTCAGACACATCAGCAGAAGAGGGTGCTTCATGCCCCACCAGGACACGCACCTGTTTTACTTTAAAGGAGTGGAGTTGTTCATGCGTAACCTACATGTGAGCGGCCTCCCAAATCAGCCACTTCCTCACCGTGTGCAAACCTGAGGCAGGATGGAAAGCCGTTCAGGAGCACAGCTGCCAGGTGCAGAGGGCACCCAGAGAGACTTTCCTTTTAACCCTTTCTTCCCCAGCAAAATCATGACTTCTCCCCACTCCCTTGGCTTTCCGTGCCACACAGGAAACCTGGCACCAACCTGAGCTGGCTGCTGCCTGTTATGTCTACTAAATCTTCTTTAAATAAAACGGACCCGGAACACAGCAATCCTTTTGCCCATGCCCCTTCAGCCTCCCTGAGCAAGCCCAAGTCACTCCCGCGTAGGAAAGGGTGTGCCAAAGGAGTCGGGAAGACCCCGCCAGGCTGCGGAGGACCAGGCTCCGGGCGCAGGGCACTTGCCAGCCGTCCTCAGGGTCTCGCCAAGGGAGTGAACAAAAGTCCACTGCGCACACAGGCTGCAGCTTTCCACATCTCCAGCACACCAAGGAAAAGGCTTCCACTCGCTTTCCGTTAATTTGAACCAAAATTTGTCTCATCGTACAAATTTCTCTTTAAATACTAAAGAGAATTAATAGAGCTTTTCTTTTCTTTCTTTCTTTCTTTTTCTTTTTTTTTTTGGTACTGGGGATTGAACCCAGGGGTGCCTAACCACTGAGCAACATTCCGAGCCCTTTTTAAAATATTTTATTTAGAAACTGGGTCTTGCTGAGTTGCTTAGGGCCTTACTAAGATATTGAGGCTAGCTTGGAACTTGTGATCCTCCTGCCTCAGCCTCTCAAGCTGCTGAAATTACAGGTACACACAACCACACCCCGCTGATAAAGCATTTTTTGTTATCAAGCAGTTGGCAACCTGTTTTATACCTTCTGTAACATCACAATGACCATTTCACAGAAACATTACTAAGTAGTGTGTTTGATGTGTTGCTTGGTGTTCATGCATCTTAAATGAGGCTCACGTATTTATCCAGCCAAAGAAATGACGGGACAACCTTTGCTCTTGGCTTCAACATAAGCAGAATATTAATGTAATGCACAATTGTACTGTCCACTTTCTGTGATAAACTACAAATAATCATATTTGTAAAATAATTTATGCATAACAGCAACCATGTGTCTAAAACTATTCGACACACTGAGATTCTACACACTGTGAAATAGGCCTTGAAATTATACTCTCTGGTTAGTGTCAAAATTATACTCGCTGGTTAGTGAAATATATAGGGGATAAAATAATACTAGGCTTTCTCTGTGAACTGTTAAATGAAGAAAAGCTTTCTCTAGAGCCTTTCTAAAGGAAATATGCAAATTGTTTAAATTTACCACTACACATACAACTTTGCCAAAATTTAATATATGTTAACATGGAATATCTACCATTTTCAAAAAGCACCTAGTATTTAATGTCACTTCATATTAGAGACTGGTGACGAAGTCTCTGGCTGTGTAGATTCAAGTCTTGGCTTCCCTCCTATCTAGCATGTGACC